TTTACAGGCACATTAAACGACAGATTTTGACCAAGCACACGTGAGATTACAAATGTACTAGCAATGTTACAATCAGAATCTGGCTCTTGCGTCGGTGTGTGTTCATCGCCTTATGCAGCAGGTGGGAAGTTTGAAGAGCACATAAAATACGTAAGAGTCGCTCGAGGCGCAGCCGAGAGCAAGTCTAGCTTTCTGAGTGCACTTTCAACTTTTCAAGTGCCTCATATCTTGATAAATGCAAGGATGACGAATGAAACATTTGGTTTACACGTCAGTGTACGTACATGGATATATGAGGAACTTGGATAGTTTGGAGAGCATTCAAGAAGCTATAATTTGTCTTAGTTGCACTTCGAGCAACTCTTTCGTATCTTTCGTGCTCTTCAAACTTCCCGCGTGCTTCATATATCGATGGACCACGCTGACGTATCCGTCGCAGTATGTAGCAATGATATGAAAACTTTCAATTTTTGCGTATAACCCTAGAAAAATTTTTATTTCTTTTTATTTCCTAACAACTAAATGAGCTAGAATGATATGGTATATAGAAAATTCTTACTTATACCACTTTTATCATTTTTTATTAATTGATTGGCTGGTGAAGCAGTTCTTACCTAGATCAGATGCGAATAACGTAGCGCAACTTTAAGAACCAATTTGGTGTCAAGGGAAACTATTTTCAGTTGAAATGCGTCAATATTCCTTCTGACTATTTTCATTTAAGATAACAACAGTCTCCGTGACCGTGAGGTCTTCCTCAAAAAAAATGTCTAAAATTCATTTACGCCGATAAACTACGTGCACCCTTTCACCTTCGTGACGAAGCAAAAATAGAAAAAACACATCCAAACCAGTTTCTAGACACTTAAATCTCCGAAATCATTCTAAGCACGATACAGTAGTCTGCTGGTCTTTCCTACATCTACGCAGTTTGGAAGCTGAGCTGAAACTCTAAAACAAACATCGATTATTCAAAAATCGACACTTTTAATCACCAAGGTATCAAAGAGCGCCAAAAGCGTAACTCTTTTCTTATGTAGATAAACCACACAATCCAGAATTCCTTTAACAAAGGGCAAACGCTCGAAGCGCCAGCTGTAGAATCTCTATAAGTTGGCCAAAATACATTATGAACTCAGTTAATAAAACCATATTCTCTTGTGTGTCGCCCCCGCGATCTATTTCTTGGCCAGTTTCTTTCGAATCGCGCGACGGACATGCAAAGCTAAAGACGTGGGCTGCCTGTAAAGTATTGCCGTGAGCCACAAATTCTTGTTTATTTTTATTTCTGTCTAGTTTTAGGAATCAAAACTTGTCTTTAAGGCTTACGAAAGAGAGAGGGTTGACATCTGCTAAACGCAACCCCTCTTCTGCGCTTCCTTGTACTTTTTTTTAACAGAAAGCGATCTTGTTTCCAAAGTTTCATATCAGCACTTTAATCTTTGAATGAGAACGCAGCAGTCAAAACAAAGTCGTAAAGAGGCTTTTAAAAATTTGTGACAGGCGAAAGCTCTTTGTTTATCGTTTTTGCCTCTTTTATTAAAAATATCGCACGATCTTTTTTATCCGTCAGCCTTCGGTAAGTGATTGCCTCTGTCAGTAGAGACATAATTTAGCCCAAATTAGGATGACAGGAACTTTTACGAACCACATATATACACACAAGGGTAAGAAAGCCCTCCGACTTGGTCTTAACACGCTTGATTGTGTAACTTTTATACAAGGAGTTACAAAATAATTTCCCCCAAAAAAATATCGACCAAAACACAGCAAATACTGCAACACAGTAATACTAACATTCTCAGACTGATACTCGCCCACTGAGCAAACCCTGTTGCTTGACGACGGGATGATCACACGCACCACTAGCAAGTAATTGAGCGATCATAGCATTTCAGTGATCTGAAGTAAGGTTTTGACAATGAAGGATAGCAGTTCAGAGATTCTACTAACTAAAAGTGCAGGCGAAACCCGTTCAGAGACGGAAGAAGAAACATGGAATCCACGTAACATGGTCCTTCTTTTTTCGATGTGCCTAGTATACTTCGTCCTATACGCGGCATATTCAGTTTACGCACCATACTTACCAAGTGAGGTAAGTACAATTATTTAACACTTTATCAAACGGAACCCTGTGGCAATTTCAACGTCTTAAATTGCAACCTATTCGTAGTCGGCTAACGGACACGCTAAAAATTTCAAACGCCGCTATTAAACACGTTATCATGATGTGTTTAGTCATTTATATAATCATATACGGTTACTTTTGTACATTTGTCACTCACACCTGTGTGGCATTGCTGGTTACTTAATTTTTCAATGACAGCGTGTTCAAAATACGGCAGCTCACATTGTTGCGCTAACAAGGAAATATGATTCTATTAACCCAATAATGCGTAAACTACACTGGCTGCCAGTTAAATTTCGTACTGTTTTTAAGCTTCTGTAATAGTTGATAAACGTCTCAACGGCAAAGCACCGTCAAGGTCCTACATTACTAGTCTTGTGAACCATCCAAGTATCTCTAAGTCTTCGCGTTCCTGTAGCTAAGAACTGCTCAGTGTGCCACCGATAAAACTCAAGACTTATGGGAAACGTGCGTTGCAACGCCAAAGCTATAGAATGAATTGCCTCTTAGCGCTCGAAAATCTCCACAATAGCTATTTTTAAGAAGAATTTACACACTTATCTTCTTAAGAAGGTTACGACTTTTAACTTTCTATTTTTGATATATGTACTTGCTTTTTCTTTTTTAGCTTTGTAAGTTTATCTTGGTGTTTTTAGATGCTAGTTTTTACTTTAGGATAATTATAGTAAAGAGCTTTGGAGGATAAACTGAATTGACCACTTCCATAAATGGCTACCGGATTGATATTCTTTTGTTTAAAAGTAATTAGCCTTTCTGGCCTCGTTTTCCAGCTCGAAATTCAAAAGAAGCATTATCTCAAGCGAGGCTAATGAGGCTAATTTGAATTTAAACAAAAGAATATCAATCCAGCCGCCATTCATGAAAGTGGTGTATAGAGCGACAGAGCTGAATAATGTCTACGCATGCGCCAGGTTTTGCCGCGGAAACACGGATTTTGAGTCGTTCACATGGTTGATTTCCTATTCTGTTGCTTCGAGGCGTCGTTTTCCTTGCCGCTTTTCTTTTACAGAACAACCTCCAAAAATTTGGTACACCCCCTAAAAATTTTCAAAAATTAATTTTCTCTGTTAAACCTTTGGAAATAGGAAAGTGCCTTCGACGAAAACAGAGTTCCTCGGTTTTAAAGGTCAGCCCTTATCTATACGTATGATGCACGATCCTCGCAGTAGAGAGCGCTATTTATGCAATAGCGAAAATCAGACCTGAAAAAAATCAGGCCTGTACGGGATTCGAACCACTGACCTCTGCGATACTAGTGCAGCGCTCTACCAATTGAGCTAACAAGCCAACTGGGAGCAGGCCGTTAAGTTGATTCGTAATAAACTCGTGATGATAAATCAGATATGATGAATATATGAAGTTCATATAAATATATATTTTTTCTATGCTAAAACATAGATACAGAACATGTGGGGATACAAAGTTCTGAAGGTAACATGTTTTTTTTCTATCACCTTACATTCTCTTGTTTACTATCTTTCTCAAGAAGAACTTCACCAGAACCATTCCTGTGAAAAGATAATGGTCAGTTTTGAATTAATTCAATCAGTAACCATGTATGAAGATAGAGATTTGTTGATGACCTATCAGCCGGTTGAAAACGGTTAGCTTTGCACGGAAGTGGCTTTTGTATGCATACCATGAGGCATACGATGGGTCAAAAACCCATTGTTTCTTGTATGGATGTTGTGGTTCAACTTTATCCTACATTACCATAACCAAAAACAATGGAAAATAAAATTTACACCAAGGATAAAATTGAACTACAACATAGATAAACCCATACCTTTTTTTATCTATAAAAGCATTAAACTGCAATTTCTGCTGGTTTACTGGGGTGTTTATAGCCCTCTCAAAAAGTTTGTGACTCATTTTTTCTACAGGATGTGATTTGAACAATCATCTGTATAAAGTAAATCACCTACAGCACATGAACTACTCTAAATGACAGTACACTAAATTCTCATATTAGGTCAATTCAGCTCTAGTGTGAGGCCAAGAACCTCTCAGGTAATCTACAAGTAAGGAAAACTGTTGCTTGTGAAATAAGGTTGAGACATATCCTATACCAAACACACCCTCAAAGAATCACAACTTGCAACCAAATTGACCAATCTTTGCTGCACGTTCTCTCGACTTATGTTCTCTCAATACCCTGTGAAGGTTATTTAGCCGGTGAGTGAATAGAGAGAAACTAGTATTGACCGATAAACTAACAAATTAATTCTAAGTTCCCCTTACCTGCTGGTGCTGTTGTCATTCTTAAGCAAAACAAACATCTTGTGGCTGTATGGCATGCAAAAAGTTTAAACATTAACTTCTTAAAAATAATTTTACACTTCATTATCCATAACTTTCAGCAACCCATATGTCATGTATCTAACCAGTGTTTAAGAACTTATGTGGGGTTATTAGGCAGGCGTAAGTATTACTGAAAAGCTCTGTATCTTAAGAGCTTCACTATATCAATAGCCCACTTCTACTTATGCAGAATCTTCAGATTATGCAGCAGACTGATAGTATGAAGATTCTTGGTGTCATTTTAGATGAAAGAATAACATTTAAGCCCTATATACAAGTACAACTTAAGAAGGCATGTGCTAAGGCAGCTGCCATGCGTAAGTTTATACCACAAGATGTTATGATTCGCCTTTACAAAGCATATGTACTACCCCACTTAGAGTATTGTAGCCCACTCCTGCTAGGAATAAGTNAAAGTTATAACAAGGTCTTACAACTCATGTTTCTAAGAGCTGAAAACAAATCTGCAGGGAAAAGGAGCGGAAAAGCCTGAAGGGGGGGGGGGGAAGGAATTAACACCCCACCAAACCCTTCCCCCCTCTTTCTTGGCTCCGACCGAAGGTTAAATATTCTATTCCGTCAATTCCTTGTTCTAGAGGTAAATATGCTCAATTGATGCTTACGCGAACAAACTTACCTCAGTCTTGTGATTTGAAATATTTCAAAGACTGTTGCTTTACAAACAACTTGCACTTAAAATTGACCCCACTTCGTTTTATCTTCTTTTGTTAGAGACCAGTCATTATCTATCGCGTAGGGGGAAGGGAACGAAGAGGATTTTGGAGTGATCACGTGGTACCTAATTAACTGCCAATAACGGGGAAAGGGGAAGGGAAGTCATAAGACTAGAGCCTAAAAGGGGATTAAGTACATTCTATCGTGACACGAAAAAAAACGAAAAAATTCTTTCAACGTCCCACCACCCATCCCCCCTTCCAGTGCGAAAAATCAATGACCGATACCTGATGATAACTTAAATACCGAGAGAATTTTGAGAATTTATCACTTAAGAATTCTTTTATAAGAAGACAAAGTGTTTAAATTTGTTATGTTTTTCAGATTTGGCGAATTGATATTTGATCCAACAATGTTCGTAGTCTTTTGCTTAGTGTTGCGAATAACATCGGCCATTGGGGCAGCAGCTGCTGAGACCGCTGTCCTCGCCTGTACGCTGCAGAAATTCCCAAATAATGCCGGAACAATTTCTGTATGTCTGCATTTGGATTTTCATAATACATGGCCCCGTTCAAACTATGCTATATAAATATGAAGACGGTGTTCATACTCTTGCAACGCAGTAAACATATATCCGTCCAAGCGGATGAAACGTATTCGTCCACAATACGCCGGATAAATTTGAAAATGCTACAATCATCGGCTACAAACACCATTTGCAAGTATGATAACAGTGTTTATTCTGCCAAAATATAAGAGAAATGTCCTAAGCGTGTTTGGAAAGCTTTCATTGTTTATTTCCTTTACTTTTGCTTGGAATGATATAGAGTGACTTTCCCCTTGTAATTTTGATGTGTTTAGGCAGGAATGCAGCTATCTTGTCTTTGTGGAAGTTCCTTAGCTCCAGTTTTTGGAGGGTTTCTCTACACAGTAAGTACAAACATAGCAAATCGACGATTTCAAATTTAGGATTGGACAGTGCACCCTTAATCATCGAGTTAGGGAATGTCCGGACTTGGCTGCCTTTAGGCGCGCGTTGCATTCGTTTATGGCGAGGCTTTAACTCGATTTTTAACAACTTTCGCTTATTAATTAGATAGCACATACAAATTGGATAATATATTAGCTTTTCAATATTTTTATCTTTTGATATTAGTTCTTATAAGCTCATTATTTGTAATTAGTTTCACGTTCATGTTTTAAACGAACTATTAGCTCTTAGGTGATACATGGGTAAATAAAGTATTATTATTATTATTATTATTATTGGAAGATTACCTGTAATAACAAGAAACACACTTAACAGGATATCTGGTCATGCAACCATGTAATTTTGCTCGGATGGCTTAAAATCCCAATGAGATAAGGATTTTCATTATCTGTAAAAAGCACATTATCTACTGTGTATGAATAAAATGACACACTTAATTCTCATTTATGTCAATTCAGCTCTACCAAGAGGCCAGGACCTCTGAGATAATCTATATTAAGTAAGAAAAATTGTTGCCATTGAAATAACATTGATGCATATTCTATACCAAACACATAGGTTGCCACAAACTAGACCAACCTTTGCTGCAAAATGTGACCTTACAGAAAACATGGCTGACTGACAGTACCTTTCACCAATCCGTGTCCACACTGGAGAATCTGAGATTTGTGACTCAAAATATTTGGAAGCTTTATAACAAAAGTTGCTGCAAAAACACTGTAACATAAAAAAATGCTAAATCTTACTGCATGTGCAACTGTTACAGGCATGGTGTGAAATCACAAGATCTGAATAAGAAATAAAAGCTATTCCTTCATTTAATTTTGCTTTGATCTGAATATCCTACACACAGATGTTTTTTGCTCAGCAATATCCACCCTAAACAATACCCCAACCTAAATACAACTGACTTGTTGTCAATCTATTAAAAGTACTTAATTCACCACTACTGATTAAAATATCAAGAACAAGAATAATGAAATAACCAGAGAGGGGAATAGTTTACCTTTCTTTCTGTGATATCATAAACTCTACTTGTTTTTACAAAGATCTTGTACTTTTGGGCTGGAATCTGGAAAATTGAACAAATTAGGTGAGCATGCTGTATATGTAACCTTTCCTTCAACTGCTGTACTTTGATTTTTTTTTTCCCCCACCATTTTGAGTTTTATGTTTCTTTGTTTCAAACTATGGTAATGTATAAAACACTTTACAATTGGTTTGAACAATTTTAACCAAGGAAACCAGAAACTCAGGTTGAGACTCCTACTAATCATGCTCATCAGAAAATAATTTTTTTACTCAATGAGTGGGTACTTAAAATCTCTGATGCCTGCTGCATAAATGTTCTTCCAAGTCTGCTTAAAGGAAAACCTTTCCAAAATTCTTTCCCAGCAGCCCAAAAAATATATTGACATGTCATGAACATGACAGTTTTGTTCTGAAAATGCATCATCTATAAGCCTACATTAGACCATAAGCATCCCCTATATCTTCACATATAAATATGTCCCCTTGGTGTAGACATTTATTTGGATACTTTGGCTCCAAGATGCATCCCTGTTTTTCAAAATCTTAGACAGTATCTCACTCATATTTTCATAAGGGGCCATGTGACAGAGAAAGGCAGAACTTGGTAACATCTGGTAAGTGTGAAGCCATGTTCAGCTACATTAGCTATGGGTCAAAAACTATCACGTAAACCTCTTTTTTACAAAAGAAGGACATTTGTAAGCAATTGCCACAAACTTCAGACTGGACGAACAACAACTACTTACAAACCTGGTTCAAAGTATTTTTACACAAAGGGTAACCACACTTTTTGGACAACATCCTCTCCACCACTACATCTGCATAATGGCTTGTAGTGATTAAGTTTCCCTACAGAAGAGAAAAAATATAACTTTCTCAAAACTTTATCGTGACGTTGTTGTTTTTCCAGATTCGAGGTCGCACAGAGTCTGTTTACCGAGTTGATGAGGAAGTCTTCCGTGATAAAATCTTCTAGAACGAGCCTCTCCACTATGTCGTGAGCTCGTTCTTCTGCAGCGACTTGAGAGCGAATGGACGTTTCAATCTCTTTTAACCTGAAATTCAAACCGGATCGAATGGTCATTACGAAAATTTTGTACGTTTAAAATGCAACGTGGAACTCACCAGTCTTCGCTGCACAATCATGAAAAGTTACAAACAAATAAACTCCTGATATCGACAATGAGAATCTCACCTCTGTTGCTTTTCATCTTTCTTAGCTCGGGCAGACGTCTCTGGAAATAAAAAAAGGCAAATATAAATCACACAAGGAAACAAGAATATCACTGTGATTGATAGAAGAGTTCACTCACTTGTCTTTTTAGATTGCTTCCTTTCTTTTGGTTTTAATTTGTGGGAGTCATTTCCTTCAAAGCCGTCCGCCATCATGTAATTTGTGGTAATCCTAATTAGCATAAATTAATATTTTGCCGGCACGTATCGGAGGACTGGGGTGGCCGTGAGGTATACAGAGAGTTATGGGATCGTGGTTTGCAAGTAGAGGTCGTTCGTTGGAAAAGGCATTCTACGGTCAGCCTTCACCGTGTGTAGCTTTTCGTTTTCGTCTTTTGTATAAATTTAGAGCGGTACTTATACAATAACCTTAAGTAACTATGTAAAAATATGCATGTCATCCATAGCATACCCTAAAACCCCAAAGGGTGGCACCGCTACCTTGGTCGGGGATACACGTTCCCCGTTGTTTCCACCTGTTGGTTTTTAGGGGTTTTCGTGTCCGGCTTTGGTGCACTTAGTTCACTTCAGTTGTAATGGACTTCTGTCAGCATATCGATTTGACGTGAAATAAACGGTGGCTTGGGTGGCCAACCCGTACAGATATCAACTCTTGCGTGTCCGGTTGAGTATACGTAGTGAAGGCAAAATTTGTTCAACTCCTGAGGCCGCTGATAGACTACTTGCCCGTTGGTGTGGGGTCCAGTCTTCCACGCACGAAAACTACCATCGCCGTCGAACGTTCGCCTTGATCACCAAAATGTTCTGGGAGGTGGTATTCCATGTAAAAGGGGAAAATGGAAAAAAAATTATGGATTAACTACCGAATAACTCCAGACTTATCTGAAACCAAAAGTAGGTGGAGAAGCAGTTAGACTGATTTTCTCGCATCGCGCAAACGACGAATTGGATTGAAGTTCCAAAGAAAAAATGTTGGACAGTTTAAATCATTTTTCTGACAACGAAGAGTCGGAATGGCTGGCGAATATTGATCCAGGTTTATTGGATAAATCGAACGAAGAAAAGCAGTAAGACGACAGTGAAATTTTATAATTTATTGAAGAAAATAGAAACAGCAACACGACAACGCACCAATTCCATTGCGCCTCGCATACTTCTGTCGCTCACTCCTCGTAAAAGAAATATCCGAGAAATTCGCCCTCACTGAAATAACAATTTGGCGCGTTGGTTAATAAATAACTTATTATACGTTCTGGTGTGTATCGCTGGCTTGTCAAAATACGGCACAACTCGTAAAAATACTCAGCGATACTATACAGAGATATTTAACAACAAAAATACTCAGCGATACTACACAGAGATATTCAACACCGAAGTGGAAGTGGTTAGTGGTGGATATTTACCAAACTGCGAAGCGGCGAGGTAAATATCCACTGCTAACCACCGACACTGAGGTGAATAGTTGTTTTAGTATATACTAAAACAGTGAGATAATATACACCACCAAAAATTGATTTTCGTGATTTCTTCGCTTGTCATAGAGACAAACCGGGACACCATTTTTTCCCGAGTTGCTCGGAGGTAAAAAGCAAAGGATATTCGGAGTTTGACTAGCCAATCAGAGCGCGCCTTCAACGCTATCCACTGTTTTAGTATATACTAAATTTATTTATTGCCAAAAGGTCGTGGCCGAGGTCTTTGCTAAAAAAAACTCTGCCCAGCCGGCAGAATGAGATGATTTTGTGAAAAATTTCAACGAAGCTTGAGATGAAACGGATACCGCTCGCTGTGAGCGAGCCGGATGGGAGAATACTACCCGCTCTCAGAACCAATCAGGTCGCAGGATTTGTAGAAGACCGCCAGCTCACGAACTGAGAAAAAAAAATAAATGCATTTATTATATAGATATTGATGAAATGCCAGGATTTTTCCTTTTATCAATAAATCATATCTTCATTGTGCGCAGTGAAGATACTATTTTTATCTTTCACGAGTGAGGATATTGGTATCGCCATGGTTACTGTTAGGGACACCGGCCAGAAGGCCTAATTTTTATCAAATTGATTATTGATTAGTTTACTAATTTTAGAAGGATCCTAGATACGAACATAGATACAAAGCGTCGATAATGTTTAAACGAATCCATGGTGCACTACCTAGCTATTTAAACGAGCATATTTCGATCAACAACTCAAGACATTCAAGAACTACGCGCTATTCAAACTTTAATGTACTGTGCCCCAGATATAACAGGGAAACTGAAGGTGGGCGCACCTTTCTCGTCACCGGAACCAAAATTTGGAACGAGTTACCACTACGCATACGGATGGCGGACAGCATAAGGTGCTTCAAGCACAATATGTGGACTAATATTTTTTCGCAGCAACAATTTTTAAGTCATTTTTGTGTATAGTTTCCTTTTTTTTCTTCTCCATGAAGCGTTGATTCTTCAATTTTCACATCTTATCAGTGTTCGTTATTCGTCGCTGAGAGAAGCTATTCAGTTATTCTGCATGATTAGTTCCGAATGCTAGCTTTTCTCTTCGAAGTTCAAGACATTTTACAGATGAATTATCTGTCAAAACAAAGAAATTATAATCTCTTTATCAAAAGTAAGGTGTGTCTATATGACACTCAGCATCCGTTCAACCCATAAGTTTCTGGGAATCGAGTATGGAATTTCCCTCGGAACAAAATACTTATTGTTGACTTCCACTAGGGTTCCCCATATTTTTTGATAGGCGTAATACACCCTATGCAGAACGAAAAGAGACTGGGAGCGTTTAACTTGAAAACGAGGCTAGTTGGGCCAAGTAAATAAAAATGGCGGCCTGATGTGAAGAGCGCCAGTTTTTGAAAATGCCGCAAAACTGTTGCGTGCCAAACTGTACCAAAAAGAAGTACAGAACCGAAAGTGGAGAGAAAATTTCTTACTTCAAATTTCCGGACGACACTATCCTCAAAAAGCGTTGGCTCCATGCCATTCGTCGAGACGAAGGAAAAGAGTTTACAGTCAGCGAACACACGAAGATCTGTTCTCGTCATTTTAAGCCCGAGGACTTGGTTAAACCAAATGTGGAGTGTCTGTGCCTTTTTATGTAACATTCAGGACCCTCTCATTTCCGCTTAACACTGAGTTTGACAGAGCTCTGAGGTACACTACAGAAATTCAGTCAATTTAATAAATGTAAACTTGATGATATCTCTCAGGTTAACTGTTTTCTAAACCAACTAAAACTAAGGATGTGATTCGCTTGCTTTCAGTCCCAAACACTTTAAGATGTAAGTTTTACATGTAGTTCCAAAGATCTTAAAATCAAATAATAAAGAGGTACTAAACTTACAAAAGCTTTATATCCAGTTAGGTATGAGACACAGTTCTCTTTACTCATGACAAGATTAGATTGTGGTAGTTAACCCTTCTAATTGTTACTGAACTCTACAGAGGCTGGTGCTATAAAATGTTCAAAATAGCTTTTCTTTAGGTCTTCATTCAATACTTCCCAGAATTGAGGATCAATTATGATCCTCTCTATACTTATGCCTTTGTTAGTATAGATAACAAAGTCACACCAACTTGCTCCTGTAATACCTAGTTGACTCTGTATCTGGAAGTAGTACTGATGCCCCCTTTTCAGCCTTGGCTTTCCATTTACATTTTCTGCGAAGAAACTTTCATCTGCACATGCTTGTAAGGGACTACCATGAAATTTTGTGTAAGGACATTTAACCTCTACCAACCCAAAAGGCTTGCTACAGCCTCGGTCAATGACCTTGCCATCTGGTGATGCTGCTAAAAAGGGAGGGGCGATACTGACAACAAGACCACTTTTGAACACTGAAACTGGATTCCTTGTTGAAAACATATATTTTTTATACTCCTTTAAGGCTACAGGCTCGTAGGTTTTCCCATGTGCAGTTTGTTTGGTAGTAAATGGTTGGGGATGAAGCAAATTGTTTACTAGAGTGTCATGATTCCTTTGCCTTTTTACAATTGTGTGGAAATTAGATGCTGTATACCGAAATTTTCTTTCTGCCTGCCATTCTTCTGATGCTACTTGTTCAATTGTTTTCTTGTCGATGGTATTTAGGAAATG